CCCCATCACTCACCTCCTCCTCCACCTTACCACTACAACTCACCCCCACCGCCGCATCACTCCCCACCACCACCAACTTATACATACTCATCCCCACCGCCACCACATTATTCTCCTCCACCACCACCACATTCCCCACCACCGCCTCCACATTACTCACCACCTCCCCCACCTCCATGTATCGAACCACCACCACCTCCTCCTTGCATAGAGTACTCACCTCCTCCTCCACCGACAGTCCATTACAGTTCTCCTCCACCACCACAACCAGTCCATCACAGCTCTCCACCACCACCACCGTCTCCAGAATACGAAGGTCCATTACCGCCTGTCATAGGAGTATCATATGCATCACCACCACCACCACCCTTCTATTGATGATGATTCTTTCAGAGGTAAAAAAAAACACCCCCACCAAAAACGATGTCGTTTCTACTTACTCTATCAAAAATCAAGAAACAAGACTTCGTTCATAGATTATTTTACAGAGATCAAAAAAGAGAAAGAATTTAAGAGAGTGATCAAGATTGTCTAGAAGAAGAAGAAGAAGAAGATTTATTCCGATGAAAATAAGAGAGATTATTATTATAAATTATTATTAGGGTTTCCAGGGGGGGAAAACAAAACAAAAACAAGTTGTTTGTATAGAGGATGATGATAAAAAAAAATCGGAGCAACATCTTCTGCTGCTCCATTTGTTTTTCTTCATTTTGTTGTGTCTCTTTTTTTTTTGGGTCAGATTAATTTTATTTTTATTTTTGTGTTTCTATCTTTCTTTACAAATTCAAGAGTTCCTAATTTCGTAAGTGAAACTCTGTGCTCACATTTTTCTCTATTTTTTTGGGTTTATGTTTTGATCGATCTATCAGAAAGATCTTTAGGCTTTATTATTATTTACATACTTTTGTGTTCTTTGCCACATTGATCGAAATAGAAACACCATAAAACAATAAAAAAGATTCGTGTTGAAGTTTCTAAGAATCTGACTTTATAGAAATAACGAAATTATACAAAAGTCCTCGATCCAATTGTCAAATTGTGCGAAGAAGAAAACAATTGTGTTATTTGAGATATATCTTTTTCTTTTGAGATAAAAGAGAGATTTCTTGACTTTTTCGTAATTCGAATAAAATAATAAATTTTGATAGTGGGGTGTTCACGTGGGAAGGAAATAGACCTTATATTTGGTGGATGTAAAATTCAATTTTTTTTCCTTAAAAGAACTTACTAACCAACTACAAAAATAAATAAACTGATACAACATAAAATTATGACTGTGTGCAGTAAAGTTTTATTAATCTATGTACAAAATTATGACTGTGTACAAAATAAACTTTTTTTTTTTTACCTTAAACATGTTTAACAACCACTGATTAACTCTTTTAAAAAAAAAAAAGTGAGGAATAAAAGAGCCTTGATTAGCGCAAAGATTTGAGAAAAAAGTGTTTAGTAGTATTGACTTGACTTATCTGGTGTACTTGAAACAACCAAACAAAAAATAAATTAAAATTCACATTTCTTTGAATGCTGTGAAATCCTTAATTTGTGGGTCGCTTCATTTCACTTTCTTTTTTCTTTTACTAAATATTTTAAACCTTTTTTCATTTTGTGTTGAAAATTGAAACTACAATATTTTAAAAATAGAAAGAAAAATAAAAATAAAGAAACAAACAGTAGAATCCTTCTGCCGACAGTTCAACGCTTTCATAAATTTTTGACCTTTTTTTGTGTCATCTCTTTTGAGTGGTAAGACAGATTATAGTATATAGATCGAAGTATCGAACACACACACACAAAAAGTATCAGAATCGTACCGGATTTGTGCTAACCGGGATATATATATATATATTGGACAGAAGAACAAATGTTTTTTTCTTTACCCACTAATTACCAAATCGGTCAAGTAATAACAACTAAGTTGCTAGAATGTTATAAGCTGTCCTATGCACTCTCAATTCATTGTAATACAATGCAGTTATTTTTCTAACCAATAATTTAGTTTTGTATATACAGAATGGGAATAATTAAGATTCTTTAATTTTTCTTAATAAACTTAATAATTGAGTCATATGTAATCAGCAATCTAAGGAAAAATAATGGGAGAGAGAGAACATTAACAAGTGTCCTCCTGCATTTGAGGGTTCTTCAGGTTTAGGGTGTCATGTTCGTGTTAGAATATAATTGTATAAGACCAGTGGCAGAGATAGAAAATCGGATCATGAGGGTCAAAAACAAATTATAATAATTAATTATGTTATTAAAAAAATTATAGGAGTCAATTGTGTTATATTACAAGGGTCAATTTGATATTTTTCCTAAAAATACATCAAATTTAAAAAATTCACCAGGATCAATTGACCCTCATACCACTACCTTACCTCCGCCCCTGTATAAGACATCATGGGGACTTCATTTATCTAATTCATAATATTATCCATTACTTTTGTTAGACTTATGGTTAATACACTAAATACACTATTGTGAAATTGATGTTTTATTTTTAGTCATTTTTATAGGTTTAACTTTATATATAGTGCAACTATTGAATTTCTCAAAGATTTCATTTCACCATAGAAGAAACTTAGAAAGTGGACCGACAAAAGGATGATGCTCTCGCCGGAGTGAGTGGAAGCTGACAAACTCCTTTTGTTTATTCTTTGTTTCTTCGCATTTGATTTATCATTATTTACCTAAATTAGTAGTATATTTTTTTTACTCATTTCTCATATCACTTTTAAAATTTAATGGATCTGTCAAAAAATATAATTGTACTATATAAATATATAGTAGTATATATTTGGAACATGAAACTATGTTCATCTAAAATGTTAGAATTCGTTGGAACTTATTGCTCTTTAGTACTCTTGAAACTTGCAAGTCAGATTTTCAATCCAATAACTTTTTTTTTGTTTTCTTTTCTTGTTTTTCATATTTGTGTACTTGGAATTTTCTTGGTCAAAGAGATATTTAAGACTTTGGCAAAAAAATTTGAAAGAAATTGTGAAAAATTTATAATTTTACGCGTATGTGAAGTGTTTAAGAGATTATCAGGTCAGCGGATACAAATCAAACAAAATATTTAAGACTTCAAGAAAATATGTTACGAATTCAAGAAATATTTAATATTTAAATGTTTTTGGTATAAAAAAGTTATAATTATTTTCCATTTTAAATTGACTGTTACAAATTATACAAATTTGAAGTAGAATAAAATAACTACATGGAGTAGATAATCTTCATTTTTGAAGTACTATATTCTAGAGTTAAAATAGAGCACTACTAATAGGTTTTGGAAAATGTTATGTTAGAAATTGTTTGCCCAAAAAAAAAAAGGAAAATGTTTTGTTAGAAAAATCCAAATATGTCAATTTGGGAGTAGACATTGGCCAAATTAGTTTCCAGTCTTGTTTGGTCGTTTTTTTTTGTTTTTATAATTTATCATCATTCAAATGTAAAAACTAAAATACTATAGTTGGTGACTTGATGATAAGTACATCAAAATATTTTTAAACTATTAGATTAAAGAAAAGTAATTTTTTTCATTTAAAAAAACAAGAATAATAATACTATAACTTTTACTTATTAACAAAATTGGGGTGATTTAAAAGTAGACCGTATTTAAGTAAATGATTAAGAAAGTTGCACAGTTTAAGCATACACCCCCATGTGCTTTGTAGTTATGGGCATATACTTAATAAGGATTTCTCTGTCTGGTGCGTGAGGATAGTAGTAATTAGAAAAAGTGTGATTAGATGACGTAAATAATTACTTTTATATTTATAGAAAGTTTCTCCAAATACATATTTACTTTTCTAATGCTAAAATACTTTATCCATTTTAAGTAATTAACTCCACTATTTTAATAAATCATTGTCAAACAAAATTTTTGTTAGTTAAACTTGATGGGTAACATATTACATAATTGCAAAAATAACATAAAAGAAATTTTAGTTGCAGAATATAAATTTGTAAATTGAAATATCGCGGAATAATAACAAAATTGTGCGATTTAATATATTTGCGAAATCATAGAATTTATTTTTTAATTCTAATATAAACTTATACATAATAAGCAAATAATATTTACATAAATTTCAATAATATCTTAAGTACAATTTGTAATATGAAAAATTATTAAAATTTTGTTAAAATTGGGAATATTTTAATTGAACAAGTCAATTTGTTGTATAACTGGATTAGCCCAAATAAAACCTAAATCACATTTAAATAAACCCATTTTACATAGTATACAATTATAGCCCAAACACAAATAGTATATAGTTCGTTTGGCTCATTTGATTGATGGTCTTCTTACATTTGGTACTTTTGTTTGATTTCAATCGTCAGCTCTCCACCCAAAACCAGAGCTTGGATCAGACACAATGTGATTTAGGTTTGCATGTCAGCACAATACAAACCATGCCATAATACATGTGCAGTGCATTGATTAAAAACAATGGACCTTGGATCAGAAATCAAACCTTTCTACTAATGGACATGGAGATAAACGAAATTTCAAACTCTAGTCATCTTACTAGATTCATACCCATCACATTAGGCCCAATTTGGATATGTTCCAATTGTCATAATTGGATCATTGGCCCATAAACAAAGTCTAGTGTTTCTATTTCAATAAATTGGTGAGAATGGAAGCATTTAGAATCTTGTACATTATGTGAAACTCTATCAATTATGAAGAAGTGTGTCATCCGATTTTTATGGACCAACCAAACTAAACTAAACTCAAATCTTGATGAAACATCCTTAAACTAAGTTTTAGGATTTTAAACATGTCCTAACTCATTTCTTGACTGTTGAAAAGTTCCTCAAAAAGAATCTGAGACATCCCTATAACTATATATGTGTATCTAATATGTTCATATGATTATATGTATAGAGAAGTATGAATCGCATGAGAAGTGGTATACTCAAAAGTCAAAACTCATGGATGGGGATGCATAAAGCAAAGCAAAAGAAGTTGAATTCAGACATAAACACAAAACAAAGAAGCATGCGAATCTTTGTTCCTTTTTGACTTTGTATGTGTAATCCTCTTTGAGTTTCTGATTCCCAAGTTTCCCCACCATATACAAAAAATCACCATCATAACCTTTTGCACGTTCCATCATGCACTATTCAGTATTCACTAGTAAAATTGTTATAATTCCTATTAATAAACGATGAATTAAGCCATTAATCTTTCCAATATTAAGCAAGATATGATCTTATTCATAAGTGAACACACTCCACAAAAGATTTATCTCTCTTTTAAAGAAAAAAAAAACTTTGATATTTCTCCACCAGTTGATAAAGATTCGATGTCACTACAACAAAACATATGATGTTCACAAAAAAAAAAAAAAAAATTTGGTTGTGTAAAAAATTTAAAATTGTGAGAGTCATCCACGATAACCATACATACATGAACAAGAATATTCATCTTTACTTGATTTTATTTATTGTGATAAGTATGAACCGTTCAATGAAGAACCTTGTCGTTAAGACTTGAGAAGGACTCACGTGGACGCCAATGCCTGCTGAAACTTATATTTTTGCATCACGCAATTTTGTTTACTCTAAAATAATAAAAACTATTGGCGTAGACGAAAAACCTTGTCAAAAAATAAATTACAAATATTCAAAAAAAAAAAAAATCTAAAACAAAGTAATTGATTAAATAACAAGAGAAAAAAAAAAAACAAGAACAAGTGGGTGATGCATAATGATCCATCTTATTAAGTGTGGTAGGAAAAAAAGCACCCACAACTACACTATTAAGCTGTCTTGTCGGGTCCTTAAGGTTTCATATTCTATTTTATCGAATTTGTATGGACATCTTTTTTTTTGCAAATTATGAAATGTTTGATTCGTTGACCTCCACAAATGATTTTTATTAGTTTGTCTCTAGTTTGATTAATGAGTGTATACACTAATGATATAGCTTTCTTCTAATAGTTTCATTTTAGGATAATGTGACTCATGTGAGCTACTTATGAGGGTTTTACAAATTTTCAATTTGTAAATGATTACAATGTTCATTACCGTTAGATTAACCTTAGTTTGTTACACTTAATTACCCAATAATCTTACGTTATGTAACAAAATAATAATGAGTATTCGTTATTATTTCATTGAACTTAAAAGTTGGTGAAACTCCAAAAGATATGCACTACATTTTACGCAAAATCGACGTCAGTGCCAGATTTTGTAACCTTTGAGGTGAGTTTCCGACTTGGATACATTATTCTCAATCTCAATGCTTCATGATGTGTGTATCTTGTAGTATATATTATTATATAGTTTTAACAAAAGTTAAATTTATAATTTCTCCACATATGAGACAAATACTTAAACTCATGAAGTTGCGTAGTCTCTTTAGCCTTTTTCTCCTAGTTTGTTTGTTTGTTTTATGTATTTTTCTCAAGCATGCTTTGCTTTGGAGTATATGAGTTTCCAACGTGATTCTTAGAAGGCTTCACTATTATTATTTTAAGTATTTTTGCAGATTAATTATTAAAAATGTTATTGGTTTTACACTCACATAATGTATTTGATATGCCAACATAACACCTTAATTTGTATTATACCTACGTTTCGATTATGGTACGTACGTACGATTCCAGTGTCCTTTCGAACCAAAAAGCTCGATTAAAGAAACAATGATTCATTTCACCATTTGTGTGTTACTAGCTAGCTATAATTTATGATTCTGACTTTAAAGTATAGTGTAGTTAATTAATAGATTTTTATAAGATTACGCAAAATGAGAATGTTCATGTTCCTCAGCTTCTTTTAATTATAAAGAAAGTACCAGTTTCGAGCCTTTTTGATTTGCTTGGGCATCAGTATCAGTGTCATTGAAACTTTATACGTTTATGATAACATTTAAAAAGTCGACAACTAGGATTATTAAAGTTATCAAAATTTTGAGATTGATATTATTCTAGTGTGATTTTATCTTGGTTAGAGAAAGTTTTTTTTGATATTACTGTTAATAGTTCGAAAACAACCAAACAATGAAACAATTTGCCAAATGATTTGTCATCGAAGAAAAAAAATATTATGAAATTCAAGTAATTATTATGTCCCAATAATAAATTACACTTTCCATTGTTCACTAAAATAGATGCTCCTTTTCATTCGTTTTCAATAAAATATTTATATTGCATTTTATGTGCAAAATTTATATAACCATATTAATATTTAATTTGTTAAAGTTATAATAAATGAAACAACTAATAACTAATTATAAATCTTAGAAGTTGTAATTAGTTTTAAATATTTTTGTAAAGTTTAAAACAACAATTGTACGAGGCTATGGATTATAATTCAAAATTATTAGAAAAATGAGATTGTATGTACATGTTCACATCTTATTTGTGTTATTATTTTCTCAGTGGCAACGTGCCTTCTTGTTTTTGATGTTGTATTATAGTTTGGGATTACTGGCGTCTTTTAACTTCCAATTCTGAATTTACAGTCGGATGAAATTTCCATTAATCCATTCCATCATATGATCTTTTTAGTGTTTTAATTTTTTTTTTGTACTTAGTATTGGGATGATTCCTTAATCAGTGTAGTCCCTTTCATCACTTAAATGGAAAACTAAAATCTTTGCAAAAACAAAAAAGATTATAATTCAAAGTTCATATAAAATGAGATTGTATGTTCACATTCTATTTGTGTCACTATGTCCGGTTAGAAAGCTTATTTCGCCCATAGTTATATAAAAAAGTAGTATGATAATCATTTTCTGAGTAGTAACTATATCAAATTTAATAAATGTTATCTTTGGAAATGAATGAGAGATATTTTTGAAAATAAATATATAAAAATGGACATTTCTCAAAAAATATTTTTTTAAATACCCAAATTCTTTTCGAATAAATACCTTTATATATCCTTTTGTTTGACCCTTATCAAAATTACAGAAGAATTTAGGAATTGAACTTACCTATGTTGATTTTCTTATTCTGTAATTGTTTGTTATTATATTTGTATAGTCTAAAATACACAAAATTTTACTACTATGAAACGGTATGATTGTATTTATATACACTAATAATTACAACTTTCATTCTATCACACACCACAGCTAATTAAGAAACAAATCAAGCTACAAGGCAATAAATGATCACAAGAGCAAGCACGTTCATGTATTGTGGCAAATTAATTGTCTGGTCAAAACTTTTTAATACAATTACTACTATTTAAGTCTAATGGCATGTTTATCCATTGTAAACAAAAGTGTATAATAATCTTTATTTGCTTAAATTCTTCTGTATTGTATACTGGCAAATGTTAGACATGGTAAAGTTTAGTATTATTATTTTTAGTCAAATTTGTGATTTGTATATACCCTTAAAATTATAAATTACTTTCTTTGATATATATAATTATCATATATTTTTGTGGTTTATAAAAAAATGTTTTTTTTGTTTTATTGAAAAAAAAGATCTTCACAAAAATTTAAAGCATTGTTTAATAATATATAAATATATAAAGTTTGTATATATAAGTATAAGTACTGTTTTCTTAAAGCAAAAGCTCTGATCATAAAAACCTGAAAGTACTTATTCTCTTTTCGTTTTCACATTTCTCTCCTTCTCTATCTTCTTCTTCTTCTTCTTCTTCTTCTTCTTCTTCTTCTTCTTCTTCTTCTTCTTCTTCTTCTTCTTCTTCTTCTTCTTTGGTTTCACATTTTCAAGAAGCTTGTGGAGGTTAAAACAACAACAGCACAACATTCTCTATTCCATCTCCAGATCCAATCTTGCTTTCACAGATTCAAGAATCAAGACACTAACAAAATTCACAGGTTCTTTCTCTTTCTCGTCTTCTCTTCTTTGTTCTTGGTTCTTGTCTTTTCGGATCTTTGAGTCTTGAAAAACACATGTTTGTGCTTGTTATGGATTATGAATGTGTCTTGGGTGTAAAATATGTGATTAGCTCTTTCCGTCGCCGGGAAAGTCACCGGAAAATAGGCCGGAGCTAGCCATTTATAGGTCCAACACTTAGCAAAGTTGTGGAACATTAAGGGACCACTCGTTCCACACTTTTTTCTTCTTTTTCGTCTCTTTGCTTAGCTTTCTGCTAATTATCTCACTTTCCCAACAAGATTAGCCGTAAAAAATCTTTTAATATAATTATGAATATCATAATCTTAAACGTTTAATTTTGACCTTCTTTGTCAAAGTTTAATAAGTTGTTAGGAAATTTGAGTTAGTCAAAATTTAGTATTGTTTCTTGAAAAAAAAACATATGTAATTAAGTATTGTTTTACGTTTTGGTTCTGACCTTTTTTATTTTGTTCAAAGCAAGTCGTTAAGAAGTTAAGGTTTTGCGTTAGTCATTAGTATTGATTCTTTGAAAAGCAGATGCAATTTAAGTATTGTTTAATTTTTCTTGTTTTGCAAATTAACTCAATTTCTGCGGCTTAAATCAACTAATTTTTGTCTTCGTTGAGTCAAAAGAGAACACACACACACACACAAATTATTCAACTTATGTTGGCTCCCCAATTTGTTGTGTGGAGTCAATGAAAACACACTCAACTATTTGTTTTTTAAACGAACAAAACTTTACGATATTGTACGTATGCTTGACTCTATGGTGTTATTATGGTTTACTAGTCAAACTAATGGTGCAATATTGGTTTAGATGTCGGTTATTTCGGGTTTGTTTTCCAATTTATGTAAAATGAAAACGATTTTAACTCCCAAAATAAAACTTTATTGGTTTTCAAACAATTGTCTTTAATTTGTAACACGAAAATATTTGATGAGGTATCCATATGATGGCTTAGATGTTAAATTATCTTAATAAATAAATACTTTGGTTATCTATATATGACAGACAAATTCTTATTTCCGAGTATCTAAACATTCTGATCTACCACCTAGACTACAAATACCAATACCACCACATCTTCACATGCTACCTCTATCTTAGGGTCAAATTTACCATTATGCTATATTCTCTCTATCTATCAGAATTATATATTATGTATTTCATAATGGCAAAGGCCATGAGCTCATTAGTCATATTACTCCTAAGTGTCTGTCTATATGAACGTGGAAACGTGAGAATGATCAGTAGATCTAGAACACAGTTATACAGCCTAATTTTATGCAAAGGTATTAGGAAAATATTTTGAACTTTTCTCAAACATAACAATATATAAACACGAAGGATTTTAGTTTATTTTTTTCCAAAAAAAAAAAGAATTGTTTACTAACTAAAATATTAGAACCATAAGATATTTTAAATCTACAACTCTTGTTTTTTTTTTTTTTTAACTGATTAAAAAACTCATATTTAGATATACCACGAACTGATCATCCACTATCCCCTCACGAGTCTATGCCATTAGAACTTCCACTTGTGATGGATCTCTAGGCCTTGAATTGTTAAATGGCCATCGATTAGATCATATATATTACATATGGGAACATTGGAAAGTAAAGAAAGTATATAAATACTAAAAAATCTCAACAAAAAAAGAAAATTTTGAAGATTCTTTAACAAAAAAAGAAAATTTCAAAGATTTGATAAATATATGTTATCCAATATCGTAGATGACATTATTCTTTATTAGCCCACTTCTTTTTTTTTCTTTTCAACTAGTCTTAGTGCCTTAGTGGCATGTGTCTCCACTCTATTAAGTGGACCAATATAATCCCTAGAAAAGAGCATCTGATGTTGCTGCTTAGGCTTAGCATTACCACTTCATCTTCGTAAGATTCGTCTCCCCAATTTTGTATTCGTACCAACACGTTTCGTTTTTCAAGTCCAAATTGTTTTCAAAGATCTAATTCTATTTTTCTAGTTTTCTCTTTTGATCTCTTAAACTTTAGTTTCCTTATCAAATAAAGTTGTGCTTCTTTGTTTATCCACGCCTCTCCATTATAGTTACAACACAAAAGGTTCTTTGTCAAATCTTGACTTTAGGAGTTTTAAGTCTTAAGATTTTTTTGTAGCTTGATTTTTAAGTTTGGTATGTTTGTCTTTATCATTCACATGGTTAAGGTTTAAAGTTGTAGTCTCGGATTAAAATGAGCCATCTATTGTGGATTCTCGTTGACGCTTATAAAAAGTTGCCTTTTTAGTTTTTAGGGTAAGGGTTTACTTGCACTATACGTATTCTCTGTTTTTATGTTCGGCTGAAAGACAAAACAAATGAGATAGATAGCTTTCTGTTGCGAAACGGGTTCTGTGTGTTTTTTTTTTGTTTTTTTTTGTGAATACACCACAAATGTTTCTCATGTAAAACATGATTTTTGTGGACTTTAAATCTACAAAAATTTCAATCTCCACCGTTTCTTGAATAGATTTTGTATGTGTTCCTCTCTTTGTTTTGGTAACGGAATCGGATTCTTATCTTTTGCTTCCTTCTTATGTCTTCTTCGTTCTGTTCTTGCCGACTCTGTTTTTGCAAATGCTTGATTTTTCATTGTTTATTTTCGTAGGTTTTGATCTGAAGAACGAAATCTCTCGGAGAAGGACAAGGACAAGCTTGTCGCTCCTGTTTTGCCTTTATTTGGTTTCTGGTGCAAGATCTTCTCATGGTATGAGATTAAGAAGTGATATGTTTCTTGAATCTATCGATCTTCTAATGTCATGAAGAGGAGAGATTCTGGTAAGTTTAAGGAGTTATGGAGACCGGTACAAGCGTTAGCAACAACAATGATAGAAGTATAAACGATAGCTATGAAGCAATCAAGAATGGATCATGGTTTAATCAGTTCCGCAATGGCTGCAATCCATGGATGGCTAGATATGTATATGGTCTTATCTTCCTCATCTCGAATCTACTAGCTTGGGGTGCTCGTGATTATGGTCGGCGTGCCTTAAGAGAAGTAACAAGTATGTGCCATTCTTGGATCATGTTTCTTTATAAACTTACAGTACTTGTTCATTAATGTACTTATAAGTTTTGATCATATTGCAGTATTTAAGAACTGTAAAGGTGGAGAAAACTGTTTGGGGACAGAAGGAGTCTTGAGGGTTAGCTTGGGATGTTTTGTATCCTTTCTTGATTCAGTCTTTGCATACTCATTTCAAGCGTTTTAGGGTTTATATTAGGTCACTTAATCAGAAACTGTTTTGACCTTGACCATTAAATCTTCAGTTGTTCTACTTTGTTATGTTTCTTTCAACACTTGGCACGTCGAAAACGCATTCTTCAAGAGATAGATGGCATTCTGGATGGTGGTTTGTTAAACTCATCTTGTGGCCTGCTTTAACCATCATCCCCTTCTTGCTTCCTTCTTCCATTATTCACCTTTACGGTAAGGCTTGATGACAACAATACTCTTTCGAAAATTCGATTGGCGCGACGACTAACATCTTTTTTTCTTTTGGTTTGATTTTGCAGGAGAGATAGCCCATTTTGGTGCAGGGTAAGACTTTGATTGATCAGTCCAACTTTACAATGTATATACTAAATGAAAAAAATCTCATATCTAATGTTGTTGTTGTTTCTTTACAGGGTATTTCTCTTAATACAACTAATTAGTGTGATCAGTTTCATTCAATGGCTTAACGAATGCTATCAGTCTCAAAAAGATACAGAAAAATGGTTAGAGTTATTTTCAATATTTGATTCACATATAATCTTCAATTTAGTACTAATCAAGAAAACACATTTTTATGTTTGTAGCCGTGTCTATGTGATGCTACTAGCAACTACATCATACACAGTGTGTATAGTAGGAGTGATTTTGATGTACGTTTGGTATGCTCCTGATGCTTCATGTCTTCTCAATATATTCTTTATAACTTGGACTTTGTTCCTCATCCAACTCATGACAAGCATAGCTCTCCATCCTAAAGTAAGTCTTTGTTTTTTTTGTATCCACTACTAATTAATCCTATTTCATGTGATTGTGTCTTTTTTTTTTGTTTAGATGTTTGGAGTTATTAAAGGTTTGTTTGTGCTTTTGACAATACCAATAGGTGAATGCTGGATACTTGACTCCAGCTCTTATGGGACTCTATGTTGTTTTTGTATGCTGGTGCGCTATTCGAAGGCATGTTTATGTTTCCTACCATCTCTGTTTTTTTTTTTCATAATGTCTGAAAACCGATAATCCGGTTAAATCAGATTAAAATCCAGATACAACCAACAAACCGGTTGGTTGATCCGGCCGGTTAGTAGTCAAATGAAATAAAATCAATAATAAATAAAAAATCAACCAAATAATTTTAGTAAAAATCATTTATTTCTCTGTTTTGCAAAGTTTGGCTTTTGAGATTTAAAAAAAAATATATATATCAATTATTTGTCATTTTTACATCATCTTTAAAACTTTGATATAATAATTTATAATCTGAGGATAAAATAATTTAATTTTATTTATTTTGTGGTTTAGATAACTTCTCTTAAGTTATTATGGTTTAGGAATTAGGAGTTAGTAAGTACTAGTCGAGTATGATTAGGAAATTTAGTTGGTTTGGGTGTCCTTAGCCACTATATATATGGTGGAGGAGATAGGTCAAGAACCATTCATCATCATCGTCCTGCTTTGTTTTCAAAGCATACTATCGTCAGATCTCAGCCACTGGAGACATGTCAGAGACCAACACTAACGCAGAGATTGCTACCATGTCCTTTGTGAAGCAATACTATCACATCCTCAACGAAGAACCTCACTATCTTCATATCTTTTACAATGAGCCATGTCTGTTTAACCGTCCTGATCCTGCCACCCATGTCAAGAAAACGTTTTGGACCAAGAAAGAAGTGAAAGATGAGTTTCTGGCTACGCGATACGAAGATTACAAGGCTGAGATTGAAACCTCACTTGGTATACCATATCCTATGGAGGATGGTCGTGTGATTGTGTTTGTCAATGGATACTTGACTAGGAAGAAAGATAACGTGAGGAGGAAGTTTACGCAAACGTTTCTCCTGGCTCAGCAAACCGAAGGCTTAAGTATCCTTAACGATACTTTCAGGTTCAAAGAGATGCAGACACAGATGCCAACTCCTCACGAACCAGCAGCAACAGAGAGCCAAGCTTCCCTTAGTAAGAAAGCTTCAAGCAAAGGGGGAGATGATGATGAATGGTTATGTGTCTAAGAATTAGGGTTCTAGGATATTAGGAATCAAATCGAAAGATATGTAGGTTCCTATTCTAGTGTTTTCATAGAGATTTGTCTTTGGTTTATAGTAAATTTCATTGTCTCAGCTGCTGAAAAACTTTTATAAAAGGTTAAATTACAATTCTAAAAAATTTCCATATTATATTTTAAACCTAAACAAAGTTTTTTTTTTTTTTTAACTATACAAGTAAATAAGAAGCTTGAACTAGTAATGAAGCTGTAATGTTTCATTTATGTTGTGTCCTGTAGTGAACCAGTGGGAGAAAGTTGCAATAGAAAAGCAGCAGCTTCGAACAGAACAGATTGGCTTACCATAATTGTAAACTCTCTTAACCTCTCCAACACTCTTCTTTGTTTTTGTTTCATCCAAGAGTACATATGCTGATTTTGATGAGTAACATTGTGCAGAGCTTTATGGTTGCACTACTTTCAATGGTTATCGCGACGTTTTCAACAGGAATAGATTCTCAATGTTTCCAGTTCAAGAAAAATGGGAAAGATCAAGAAGAAGAAGAGGAAAGGGAAGATAGTGTTCCATATGGATATGGATTCTTCCATTTTGTGTTTGCCACAGGAGCAATGTACATAGCTATGTTACTCATTGGATGGAACACTCATCACCCTATGAAAAAGTAAGAATTTGTAGTCTTCACTCTCAGCTTGAAGCTTGAAACTTCAACTCATACTTTTTTTTTGTTCTCCTTAGGTGGACGATTGATGTGGGATGGACAAGTACTTGGGTAAGAGTTGTGAACGAGTGGCTTGCTGCTTGCGTGTACAGTAAGTCATTACAAAATCTTGAATGCTTCATCCTTAACACTTTGAGATATTGTGAGACACAGTTTTGTAATGTTTTTGTTTATGGAATGTTGTGATATATAGTTTGGATGTTGGTGTCTCCACTCATACTAAAGAGCAGAAGACAAACGACAAATGGGACGACGTAAGAGATAAAAGTGATTTTTGTGAAACGACCAACAAGTATTGTCGTTTTGGATCTCTTCTCTCTGCATGTGGGATAGATATAACTAAACCACTTTTTTTCACCTACGACCAAGATAGATGTTGAGGTGGCAACTCAAACATGTTCTCATGGGTTTGGTGGGGAAAATAGTATTAGACGATTAGACTGGAGACTTGTCGGGACAGCAAAAATCTTTGTAAGTAGATTGTTCTAGGAAGGTTGATTACGAAAATAGTTATGATTATTATTTTACCATCTCATTTGTGACGGCCTTAAACCATAGACCTTGTCCATATGATGGTTTGCACACAAAATTACACATGCATATGTCAAAATTGTAAAGCAAAGCCAATTGATCAAAGCATGCAACATTTATACAAAATAGTTGAAAGACTCTTTTTATCATTCATCGAACAAATGATCCTAAAAAGAAAATAAACAGCAAAAAGGGGTACGTACGTAACGTGGATACTCACTATGAACGATGCCTCAATTCTCCAAAACACATATAGGAAGACAATTCTCCAAAACACATCTAGGAAGAAACCAATTTTCACTTTTAACAAGAATCTTTATGGTCCCAATATATATACTTTCACAAAACAATAACGTTCTTAAGATTATCTCAAAGGCACGGACGGGGAAATAAGAGTATACATAACACCAATAAATTAAGGGATTCTTACGGATTTCGCCATTTTTGCTAAAATTGTATGAATTTTTCATTTTTGCTAAAATTTTATGAATTTAAATTTTTGAATTTTTAAAAATATTCATTTTTTGGGGTAAAGGACATACTTTATAGTAAATACTAAATTCTAAACATAACGAGTAAAACGCGTGTTTAATCACATTTTTAATCTGAAAATTATAAATCCATAAGATTTTACCAAAAAATGATAAAATCGAAAATTTGGTAAAAAAAAAATGGCAAATTCATAATTGTTTCGTAAATTAATATTACATCAACGCAACAAGGATAAAATGGCACCTAGTTAACAACATAACGTTTAGTTTCATATTCAAAAATCGTGAAGCCATCAAATCTTTCGCATATTTTTACAAAGTTATTATCGTTCTTTTATCACACAAAAAAAAAAACATCAAAGCATATAGTATTTTTTAACAAAAGTAAAAAACAGAGATGTGTTTTGTTTTCTGCCTAATCTATAACGTCTTTATATGCAATGCAAATTGCAACGTGTAGAATATATTATAATTTAGAATACACTTTACAAATTGTCTCATAATAGTATATAATTTTCTCCGATATGGTCAGTCAATTGTTCGATAAATTAGAAACCAACAAAAGGGGAAGGGCAGGGCGGTGGATGCATCTTGAAGTTGTTCTTAAAACGTTCCCTCAAATTCGACCACACACACACAGACACCAGACAAAGCCAAAGTAAAGCTGAAGCCTTCCCATGTTATTACGTTCTTCTTCTCTTCCCTTTATACTACTAAAATAGAAAATTACTAGAATATATAAGTGTTAATTACTCCATAAGGAATTTTTTAATGGCACTTTTGGTTTTGCCATTTCCGGTAAAATCTTATAGATTTGCCATTTTTCAAGTTAAAAAAAAAGTGATTAAACATTCGTTTTACTCATTATGTTTGGGTTTAGTCGGTTATAATTGTCTTTAGAGTTTAGTATTTATGATAAGATACGTCTTTTAGTAAAAAAAAAATTTGAAATATAAACATTTTTAAAAGTTCAAAGTTGGCAAATCCATAAAATTTTAGCAAAAAAATGGCACATTCGTAAAATTTGCTCTAAGAAATGGTAAAATCCGTAAGAATCCCAAATATAGAATGTTGCATATTATAGAAATTACATATTTAAATTACATGTTTCTTTTTGGTGTTTTCTAGCATAATTTTTTTTATATATTGGAAATGATATTAGATTTTTCTATATTAATTTGGTTCACCAACATGTATCTTTCAGTGGACCTACCCGAAATGTGGTAAGTCCTTAGTCCAACGTAGTCAAGTCATAGTATGCATTGATTTTTTTTCCTGTGAGAGCAGTAAACTAAAAGTAAGAGAAGAGACAGAACACAAGCAAGATACATTAGAAATGGCCGTAAAGTAGAAAGTGAGTGTAGTCACTCAGCTATAGTGTTGTTCAAATATGGTCCATATGCAGTGATTTGTTTCTCTGACTTTACAATGCGACCCCCACGTAGTCATATTAGTATATATATATAATTAATTTTCTTGTCGATCCAAAATATGAAAATTGAAACTGTAAATTCTTCAAACTATACATATAGTCATATTCACTTATAGAGTCATTGGTCCCTGGATTAAGACATCCGACATCATATAGGCGTATTGCCCCTATGTCTTCTCAAACATAACATTTGTGTGTGTTTTGTTTTTCTAAGCTAAAATGTCTTTATGTTTGAGATCGCTTTCTCCGAACTTAATGATCATCAAGGTAGCTATGTCTATGTGTGGCTCAAACTTTATCTCCATTCTCTCGTGTTTCAGATATGTTTAAAATAAAAAATATTCAGATTTTTTTTTCCTTTTTTATATATAAAACTCGATAAAAAAATATTTTTATTTTTAACATCTACAACAATTTGAGTTTTAATCCGTAATAGTTTAAGAAATTTTCAACAGTTTAAGATTAAAATGGTTGACTCTTGAAAATTAGCTAAAGCTATTTGAAAACGGTGTTGTTTGCTCCCCCAGTAAACACTTCTGTGATCTCACCCTCATGATATAATTTGTCTTGGGGAGAAGATGACTAGAATAAAGGAAACTATGGGTAGTTGTTCGAGACCAACTCGCTAACCAAAATGCGAGTTCGTTCACTACCGCTACCTTTATGAGATATAAGGTGTTGCTTTTCCTATTTGATTTGTTTTGGAATGGAAATGTTCTAGAATTCAAATTCTGCAAACTAAAATAGAAACTAATTAGTAAAAGATACTATTTGGAGGCAGTTTGGGGAATGAAGCAACTAGTATTTTACTTAGTTTCTCCATTTTGTCCAGAGTTTGTCCAAAATTAAGTAAACCCCTCTTAAGATAGTGTCTTCTATATGTGGTTAAAGGGAATATCAAACCAAAATAGTTAATTATGATATCTATTATTGAACAAAATTTGGTTTTTTATTCTCATTTTGTGTTTAGGGGCTTAGCTTTTCGTATTAAACAAGACTACATCAAGCATGTTTAAATGATTGGAAACGAAATATGAGAATAATCATCAAACTGTGAAAAAATAATCAATTAAATAAATTGATAGATTTATACTTAATGAATAGAATTTTGGTTTTGATTGATAACTTTGTATCCTTGTATTATATGGAACTAGTATAGTACCCGTCCAATGGCGGGTTATCTTTATTTAAAATTAAATTAAAATAAAAATTAATTATAACTTATAAAAAAATAATTCTAATTTTTTTTTGAAAAATAAGAGAAATTAATTTTAATTCGGAAAGAGGTTTTATTTGGTTTGAACTATCAAATAAACGTGTACATATATATATATATATATCTCTTAAAATTTGTTATTAAACGTTAATTATAAAAATCTAGTAATGTCAAACTAACAATCACCAAAACATTTGGGAGCTATTTGAGAGCTATTCACCATTACTCATAATATTGCTAAAATATTTTATAAAATCTTAATTTAGCAATTATCCTCTAAAACATGATTATACCATTTTTGTAAAAATTGTTATTTCTTAACTTTCAATTTTTCACAAAATCATTCTCAGACTATGAAAATTAATTAATTATTATTTAATATGATGGTAAAGTTCTTTCAAATTAACATCAATCTAAAATATGATGTTAAATATAAATATAGTCATTTGTAAATAAATTCATATAAACAACGCAAATAAATATAAAGATTCTAAAATAAATTATAGCATTATTGAGGAAAACATTAAAAAAAATCTTTCAAATACGAATTATAAAAAACTACATATTTTCTTTAAAAATATTTTAAAATTACTATATTACTATTTATATTGAACTTTGTTATCTTTAATTTAAGCTAAAAAAAAATATTTTCGAAAATATTTTATTCACCCTTATGTTTTAGACAATGAAATTGCTCAATGCATAATACATTCATACATAAATTAAAAATTAAACAAATATAACATATTATAAAATAAAATCATGAATAAAATTATGTATTTAGTTAAATTCAAAATCTAATTTATTTGTAAACTGTAAATCATAATTCTCCTTTATGAACCCAAACTGAGAAATAACCTTGTTTAATTGTTAAACCTAAATCTCACCTTCTT